AACGTAGAAGCCAGAATAGCAACGGGAACATTTCGAACCAGTCCAGTTAATAGTATCCTCGCTGAATCAAATTTAACACCACTAGAATTTAGAAGAAAACAACTTACCCTCTCCTACGTGCCAGCAATATTTAAAGCACCCAATAATCATGTATATGAAATATTACAGAGAATCTCCAACGACACACTTTACAAAAAAAACCACGAGCAATCAAACCATTTCACGTAAGAGTTCAAAAATACCTATACGAAAGTAATATTACATTCCCACAACTAATTAGCACCCGCAACCCATAAAATGATCAGACAAACCAGACTAACAAAGACACAATGGACAAAAAATACATAACAAAATTAATAAAACAAGTATGGAATATTTCTTGGAATAACGAACACATCTTCCCGCACAAAGTAAGAGGAAACATATAGGAAGTAAGTCCAACCATAACTTTTACTAGAAAAGAACAAATACAAATAACCAGACTCAGGATAGGGCACACTTAAATTTCACGCATTGTCACCTCATCAAAAAATAGGAATCAAAAATATTCGGCATCAGCATCACTATAGAGCATACATATACTTTTCCACAAATATGGACACATAACGGATAAATTAAAAATACCCAACAACGTTCAATTAATTCTAAATAACAAAATGCAGTGCAAAAAATCTTAAGTTTCCTAACAGAAACTGATTTTTTACACAAAGTGTAAAAACCAAAGAAAACTATTCAAGTCACGTACAACACAAGGATATTACTATCGACAATATAAGTTTTATGTAAACTGTGGTCACTGATATCCTAACAGAGGATGTGGCATTAAATAAAAAAAAATCTACACTTTCTAAGTCATTGAAAAACACGTGTTTTCCACATGCATACTAGTCCTGACGCAGTAAATTCTCGGAATGTTACAAACATATATAATATTTATTTCATTAACATAGATTTATTTGAGTGTAAAACAAGCCTCTCATGGTGGCCTAATACTTTTGCACATTCAAATAAATATTGCATATTCAAATAAAAATGCAATGGAAAGGATAAAGTAAAATGTCCTTATCTTTCTTCTGTAATTATAATAACAAGATTTCAAACTCTTAAAATTATACTGAAAAACAAAGTAGTGATATCGTGAAAGTACGTTTTAAAATTTTTGAAGCTGGTGAAGCTAACACTAATAACTGTTATGCTTTTATTACATGTAACTTGAAATCTTTCAAACATATCATTACCATATTCTTTTTATACAAAATTTTTATATTAAGGTTTCTATTGCACTATTACACAAATAAAATAAAAACTTGTAAAACTATGGAATGAAAAGATAAAATAGAATAAGAAAAGTTATATAAAGTTTAACCAAAATTATCATAAAACTTAACATAAATTAGGTTAATTCCTTATACAGGGTGTTTCCCATAAAACAGACCACCTAAAAATCTTCTCTATTGGTAATAATACCAAAAATATTTCTTATGTAATTTAAATGGTTTAAAGGGTGAATAAGATGAAAGAAATATTTATTGTGATAGAAAAATGGCAAAAAATGAAAGGATATTTTACATTTCATACTATTATACCTGGATGAATGTACAGTAATGTTAGCTATAACATGCAACAAACAAAGTTATGTGCATATACGTAAAAAAACACGGATGACCTTGAAAAACATTAAAAAATTACATTTAAATGTTTCTCCCATCTGATTCGTCTCTTGAAACCGCTTAAATTACATAAGAAATATTTCTCCTATTATCACAAACAGATAAGATATTTGGTGGCCTGTTTTATGCGAAACATCCTATATATTTAACTTTAAATTGAAATTTTTGTAATTATTAAATTACACATTTAAAGAATTTTATAATGTAATGTATAACGGTACATACTTTACTTGAAATATAATAGAAATGAAAGGAATCAAAATTATTTCGTAAAAACGATATACATAATTCATACCTGCACGCTTTAGGCTGATAATTCGAATATGAAGAATCTTAGCTATATTTAATTCACATTTAGCTGTATTTAATGTAAACAAATTAAAAGAAACATTAATTTTAATTAAATATTTATTGCAAAACTGGTAACTTTTTATTTGCTTTCCTAATTTAACTTCTATTTAAATAATTATCTTTTTTAGTTATGGTAATTTTTGGTACAAATTTAGATTGTGGAATTCTAGGGAAATTTATAATATTTTCCTCAATTCAAAAAGGAGCAATTTGGACAAGCAATTTGAAAGACTGAAGGTACGTATATGACTAGCATGTCATTAGCTTTCGACCTGCAGCTTATTATACATATATAAGGGCAAATTCTATGGAATGAGTCGTAAACCGGTCCCGATTCTAATCCTACCCATGACAGGATTACAGGTAGTTGGTGTAAGTATATGATAACCGTTAATCCAAAATATTTCAGATCTGTCCGTGTTAAAACTAGTTTCCTGGTTAGAATTCAGTAAAACTCATATAATCAAGAGTCAAGCGTGATTTTGATTTTAATGGTCTATTATAAGTTGGATTTATCCGAATGCTTAGGCATTGCATATTGTACAATCAAACAAGAATTCAATGCGTCGAAATAAACCTTTGAATATTGTATTTTCACGAATTAACAATGCTTCATACAACGTATCTCTTGTAATGCTTTCATTATGTTTTATGGATCGAAAATTTTTAAAGCAATGTTTTAAGTAATGTTTAAACAACTTTTAATTTAAATAACTTTTAAGTAATATTTTGTTATCAATAAAAATTTATGAACTAATTTACTCATTCTACTATTATAAGCCTGATGAAGTTATGGTGATTTTGTTAGAATCTGTTTCATGTATAAAAAGATAAGGAGCAAACTAGCTTAAAAGAAATCAACGGTTAGCAACATTCAGATGTGATCTGGACTGTAAATTACTATTTAAATTAATTATATTTTTACTGCAGTTTATAGCACTACAAACCATCATTAATTCCTAAAATATTTTCAAAAACGAACTAATTTCCGTGAACACCATTTACGTATATATCTTGTAGGATTACCTTGGCCTCTTCTGAAAGAAGCGCCTTTTCAGAAATTTATTTTAAAGTAATAAAAACACTAATTTAAAAAATTGTTTTTGCTGTATGAACAGCACAAAATCTGTGTAAAATTTCATAAAAATCGATACAGTTACTTTTACTGAAGTTACAGCTCACATTGTTTCGAAAAACATGATTTCCAGAAAAAGGTAGTCGAAGTTTTCGTAATGCATTTTTCTAAACAAGTTCAAAATTTTGACCTGTATTTTCAATGAGCTATTTGTACACCATAGCATACTTGTTCATGCTCCTTATTGGCATCTCTTTGGACTTTTTCTTTATTTTTTTGATTAATCAAGCTTCTTTGGTTGCTTCCTACGTTGAAATCTCCGATGTGGTCGACTCATAATAAATTAATCTTCTGTGCAATTTGAAAAACAATGGGGCCAAGTAAAATGCTCATTACCTTCATTACCTTCATAACACAAAGAATTGATGTAAATTCTTCATAAAAATGCACTTAGCGGTGCTTTCAGCTGTTCCCACCGTTTTTACTCCGTTAAAAAAACTTTTGATGCGATTTTCCAAAAAAGCGAATTACAACTTTCGTTGGAATTTTGATTAAATTCACCTAAGTAACGTTCAAGAAACTTTACTGAGATTTCCCTACTGACGTCATTACTTAGAAATAGTACAGGTCAATTCGCAAGAAACGAACCCTAGAAAAAATGCGTGTCGTGACAATCAGCGCAAATAGTTCACGGAAACTTGCTGTGTATCGCATTCATTTTCAACGAATTAGGACAACTTCCTATTCGAACTTCGGTTATGGATAAATTGTCTTTATTCTTATGAAGAAAAAAAAATCTATTTCTTGAATCGGTCAAATTAGTATAATCCCTTAAAAGACAAAAAAGTCTTATTAGAAGTATGTAATATGTAACTTCATCAAAATCACATCATTTAAAATTTTTCAATATTGTGCATATTAACGAGGATTATGTTTTTATATCCCATAATACGCTTTCACAAACTTCTTTTATCATTTATGTTTTTATATTGTAAGTTTATATCAACCAGATGTGTATTTGGAGTGTTGGAATGTTATTTTCTCCCTCAAAGTAATTTAAAGGAACTACAAACGTTAACAGAAATACAAAAATTAAACCTAATCAGGTTATATGTTAAGCGATACGTATTCTAATATGAAAAAGAAAAATTAGAATTACCGTTGATTATTTCGAATCTTATTGAAAAGATGTTTTTAAAAGAAAATGCTTTATTAGTACAGATGTATTTCTAATAAGCATTTTCTTTTAAAAATATCTTTTCAATAAGATTTCTTTTAGTATTATGCTTGAAATACTTCGCACGTATATTTTACCCCTTACATTAGTAAAATTGAAATCAAATGATTGTTACTACACAAAACAATTAGAAAATAATGATTCTGCAAAATGTAAAAAATACATAAAATATAACTATACATTTGTAATACATCGAAACATGTAAAATATTTAATAGGTTAGAAATTAATAAAATTAATGATTACTTTCTTATTAGTGAAATTTATATTTCAAAACAAATTTGAAAAATTAAATTTCAAAACATCAGAAATGAAAGAATGACTTTACGTTTCATAAACGTAGTACGTTCAAGCTTTTGAAGTATTGTACACTTTAAAACTGATGTAACTTAGTAATTGGCGATCCTGTAATTAACCTAAGCAACCTTCTGAGTGACTGATCGCATATTAATGACAGAGTACATTTTCAAATACTCGAAAAATTGTAAAAACATAATATATAATATGCCCCTGAACTACTGCATACTCAGGAAACTATTTTAAAATTATATTGTACTAAGCAGTCCTTCATTTTACTATATCCTTCTTAATATTAAATGCAAAGCAAAGAAGTAGCAGTTAACATTTAAACGAAGTTAAATAAGTAAAAATGCAAGGGCATTGCTTACCTTCCACCTCATTGCACATTTTTTAGAAAATTCCCGAAAAACGATCTTCTCCTCGGGATGTTTCTTTTTGTGTTCCTGACGACATGTTTGCACGAAGAACGCGTATGCGGTCATCCGTCCTCTTGGCTTCGAATCCTTTCCTCTCGGCATATTGTCTCGCTGTTGTAAGCTCTGAGCGTTATTTTGCTGAAGATTATTTTGTTGCTGCGGTAACTGCTGTATCTGGTGCTGGAATTGAAGAAAGAAAGGAAAGCATTATTAAATGCGGTTGTAACTGTCAGTGTCCACTTAACCCTTATTGAAAAGATATTTTTCAAAGGAACAGCAGCTTGCGTTTTGCGTTCGTCGCAAAACGAAGAAATTGGAAAACTTCCTGTTTTTCTCTATTTCCTTCGTGAAATTAAAGATACAGATTAGTTCAACATTGCAACATTCAAATCGTCGTATTTTAATTCTCTTTCTCCCTAATGCATATTCAATTTCCTTTTTAATAGATGTAACTTCTACTTGAAGTTTATATATAATGTACACGTACCCTCTATCGAATAGCTAAAGATATTTTGCGAATATTATTCAAATTGCTTTCAAACTTCTTCGACTCGTATGCATTTGTTAAGGTATTTCGAATAAATAATCCGTATAGAGATGTAGGTATGTAGTTTTGTTACGTTAGTTTAACTCTTTACAAATATAACGTGCAATATGTATTGGTAAATGATATTTTCTTATTTCTAATGAAAATTCTATTAAAAATTCTGGAAAAATATTGTTTACGTCTAATCAGATTTTCTTCTTACGTGCAACTATATTACAATTCTATAAGCAAGGTTCTTATAATTCTATGTGTAAGAAATAAAATCCTCTCGTATAAGTTTCTGAATGCCACTAAAGTGTTAAATATTAATTTAATCTTAACATTATTAATGTTACTTTTCAGTTAAAGATACTATTATACATATTTCAAACCATCTACATTCAATCGATATTTTGTCTAAAGTTTCCTTGAGAAGTTATGTACCTGTGGACAATAATCTGAAAGCAATAAATATTTTTAAAAGTGTACTCTAATTATTTATTAATATGAATAAACTGAAAATTACGAAATGTAACATCATTGGTTACAGTTTATCACCATATTTATGAAGGATGCTGTAAAATACATTCAATATAACATACTCATGGAGAAATAGATTTTCCTTTTTTGGAAAATAACTAAACCATATAAAAAAAAATGTTCACAATAGAGTTAATACCATAAATATGTATAAATTTACTGCTAATATCTGGCAAAACAGAAACACTATTGTAATAAATTATACTCCTATTATCCCACTTCCATCAAAATAGATATAGGAATCCATAATAAAAAACTGGGGAAGTGAATGAAGAGTAAAATAATTTTATCACATGATGTCAAAGATACATTAATTTCATTAGCAATGTATATTAAATGGAAAAGATAATTATAATTTATATCATGATAACAAAAACAAGATATTTTAAAAATATATTATTGGAAGTGCACAGTATGAGAGGTATAAAATTTTACATACATTGTTAGTGTTTGTATTGAGCAGTAATGTATAAACTTCGTTAAATAAGATCGTATTTTCAGCATCAATTATTACTTGCATGTTACTGCGTGTGTCAAACAAACATTTACTTGTACGATTAAACTGAAGTTGATATCCTATCTATTTAATGTTAGGATTTAGTTCAACCATCGAATCTATGTAATGTAAATTGTAGGAGAAGTATTAATGAAGACTTCTGGCTGGAGGTGATAGAAATAAATAAAAAAAAAAGAACAGAATTCCCAGTATTAGATATTAAAAATTCCTGAACGAAGATTTCTAGACACAAAACATTCTTTTCTGATTGTAACTTCATTTTCATGGACATTATATTTCCAAATTTATCGATGAAACAAATTTTTAGTTACTTTACGTGCGTTTTTAATTACTGCGACTGCTATTTTAATAACTTCGATTGCGTCTATAACTCTTTTACATTTATCATTTGTTCATTACAATAAAACTATAAGATTATATATTTGCTTTCAAGTTTGTAATGATTTTCTATAATATTTTTTCGCTCTAAAAAAAAGTATTAAACTGCGATTTAGGGACAAGAAAAATATGGTTTTACAATACTTGAAAGGAAGTTCTGTTAATTCATATCTTCACTTTTGTTTTGTACCTCACATACTCATCCGTCATTATTTATGTACTTCAAAAAATTGCTCATTATTTATAAAGTACAAAGTATTGTGAAGGAAAAATAATTTATATGTTACAATTCTTTGCTCTTTTATATGATTATCTATATTATTAGC